AAAAAATTAATAAATAAACTCGATGTTATTTTTTGTTCTTTACTGTGACTATAGGTAGATAAAGTATAAAAAAAATAATAAAGGTGAAAGACTCACAAGTACCGTAGCTATCCAATGAACCTCATGAATATGCAGCTGTACCGAGATGATGATGGTCAGACACTGAGGAAAAAATATTAAAATATAAAAAAAACGACTTCTATATCCCTATCGCTATTCAGATAGGCGTATGAATATGTTAAACGTCAAATATTAAAATTAAAAAATATATAATACTATTATTATTATTATTATTATTATTATTATTATTATTATTATAGTTGTTGTATGTTGTGTTATTTTAACTCGTGTAAAATTATTTTAATTTATCAAAAATATTTTAACCATTGCACCAATGAAAGAAAGGATAAGTAAAAGAAAAGAAAATGAATTCCCGTTACTGCGTGACAAGAAGCAATAAAAAGGAGCATACAATTATTATCCTTTACGTAAAACTTAATGGTATACTTTATACTACTGTGTTTAACAGTAAACCTTCTTTTTTGTTTCATTATTTTTTATTTTTATTTTTTTACAGCTCTGAATAAATGTCACAAATATATATATACGTATACATATGAACGAACATATGCTGCACGCGAAAAAATAATTAAACATTTATCCCGGTTATAACCAGTAATAAATAATTTATTTTTTATTGTTAATTATGTTTACTGAAAGTTAATAAATAGTAAATTATTTTTTTTTTTTTTTCATTATAATATCAAAGATTAAAGTATATTTTAGGTCGTTTTAGTTTTTTTGATGGTATTGGTATTGGTATTGATAGGGAGAGCAATCATCCGTGGCTTATTTCTGGATAAGAGTAAGATTTAAATATGAATACCTACGCGGGTTTTTGACTAGATGTCAGCAATTTATAGTTATATAACTTTCAGTTGCGTGATATACTATACGAATATGAATAGTAATATCTATCTATCTATATATAGTACGTGATAACTTGGTGTTAAATTATCTAGGATTACGCGTTATGATTCAAATATCCTCCAAATGAAATGTCTAATACTTGTACTTATATATTCTATACAATTTATCATTTGTAACTATAAATTAATAATAAAAATTTAATTTATTTTTAATGTGAATTATGACATATCACCAGAGGTCTCCTTTTTATAGTCTGATTTTTATCTTTATTGTTTTCAACAACCACTCAAGAAATTCTTTCTTATTTTTTTATAAGGTGACTCTTGTTCATGAAAATAACAAATTACATTTAAGTGGAAAAAAATTATTTCACTATCAGCTAAATTTACAATTTGTTTTATCTTTAATCACATCTATTTTACTTGATTTGTATAAATCATATCAATAGAATGGATCTCATATTATAAATTTAGAAAAATTACTATTAAGATTATTCAAATGATTTATTGAATCAAGATAAATAATAAAAGTACGTAGAAATCCACAAAAAAGCACATTAACTGTTATATGTATTACAGACACGTATATATATATATATATATATATATATATATATATATAAATCCGGAGGTGTTGCAATTTGTTTATTTCTTAGCTTCTCTATTTATTATTTTTTTATATTTTTTGTTACCCCAAATAAAGCTGGATAGGCATCATGCTGGATAATTGATGGAGGTAATAATTTACCTTGTTCCAAGATTCATTTTTCCACTGGGTTAGACTCTTGTAATCCGGGTGTTAAAGTGTTGGGATCCTAAATGACCTCGTGTCGACTTTTTACTTAAATATATTTATTATCATTATCATTATTGTAATACGGCCAACTTAAAAATTTTTATTTTTTTATTTCATTTGTTTAATTAAAGTATTAATTTTTAATTGGCTTTAAAATAACTCAACACTAAATAAAAAAATAAAACACCTACTTACAGTACTATTATAATATTAAACAGCTATTACAACGTCACATTGTTGTTTTAAAGTCTATGACATGGAAAGAAAAGGGGTTTATACATTAGGGATTGCTATATATAAAAATAATAACAATATATGTAATGTAGTAGTAGCGTGAGACACGCTGGTACTGTTGTTACTTCTGGTATTGCCGCTACATACCGTTAACTTGACTATATCACATATACTCACACAATTAAATTCATTGACTGACAAGCCCTTTTACTACAACGTTTATTTAACTTTATACTAAAAATATATTACTATTTCTGTTCTGTTATAATATTAATTAAGTAAAACGCTCAATGATAATTGATAACAATTTAAAGATTTATACATATCAATAGCAAAGTAAACACTTGCAAAATTATTCAATAATTTAATTGCTTTGCATAAATTTTTTACATCATCATCATCATTATAATAATAATAGTAGATTTTTTTTTTTTTTCATTTTTTTCTCTCGGTATTTATATCTATTTCACTTGAATCTGGTAAAATCGAATCAGACACACCCTACGTAACGTGAAATCGTCCCCTGACCCATTTCACCAGCAAGTGAAATTCCCACAGCATCACAATTCCCCTGTAGGCGTTACTCGTAATAAATTCCCCCACAGATATATATATATATATATATATATATATATATATATATATATATA